GCTCGGCCGCTCCCCCCCTTCTGCGCAGGCGCCGCGACTCCCGGCTCGGCCCCGCCCCCTTCCCCGAGAGGGAGGGGGGAAGGAAGGGCAGGAGTCAGGTGGGTGCGCAAAGAGAAAGAGAGGGGCTCGCCTACACGTCCGGTTCCCCTGAGGGTGAGGGTGCGTTTTTTTTCCTGCACATCCACCGGGGTGGAGGTGGAAAAGTTGCTCGTTACAAAATATGAACCGCGATGCGAGTTCAAGGCCCGCATCTTCAGGGCTTTTTAGGCCCCCCGGAACCTGACCCCCCCCTCCAAGGATGGTGGGCCGAATGGGAACCGGAACCTTGTGTCACGCGCCACCTTGACTTATCCCCATGGCCTTCCGCCGACCTGACCGAGCATTCGGGGCGTTAGGCTCCGCCTCCTGACGTTCTCCCTTGCGCAGGCGCAGACTCCGCGCTGCCTTTTTTTCCTTCTTTCCCCGCCTCCCACCCAAGCCGCAGCCAATAGCCTTAAACGGAGTCTAGAGGCGGCTCTCTTTAGCACGCGCCCCGGACTTCCGTGTTCTGTTTGGCAGCCGCACCAAGGCTAACTTTCAGAACAGATTGCGGGGAAAGGGGAGGCGGGGTTGCCTTCTCTCCCCAACCCCGAAAATCCAGAAAATCCCCGAATAAATATATTAATGGGAGTCCTGGGGGATTCCCAGGAGAGGGATTTCTGCCTCTACCCCTGACAGGCCCCTTCCTGGCCATGCAGTCCATAAATGTCATTTTAAAAGTTGGAATAGTTTTTAACAGTCTTTGCAAGAAACTGCTGATAAGGTAGAACCAATGGGAGGAAAAAATGAAACACAACCCAACTGCCCAAAAAGCAGACTTGTTTTATTGCAAACCCTCCAACCTACTCTTTCCCCCAAACTTTACAGTCACATGAGAATGCGAAGTACATTCTCTACCTAGCGGTTTGGGGGCTGGGGACCTCTCTCGCACTTAGCTGGTACCTCTGCAGAGATCCCCACTGTTCCTTCTGAAACCTCCTTGCGTCTTCTCCGATAAGCGCAGGGTGCCTAATCAACATGAGCTTTCGAGGCAGACGCCAGAGTATTCCGGAGCGGGTGGAACAACTAACGCACAGGGCCTGTGCGAGGCCAGCCATGGAGGAGGAATCCGGCAAAGAATACAGACGCGGCCAGAAGCACTTCCTTGCATTTTAAAAGGGAAGGGCAATGTTGCGCCATGACCAATCGGGGTGGGCAGGCTGCCCTCCCTGTCCAGACCTCAGTTCACAGTTCTGCTCAAAGTCTGTCCGGAAGCGGAGAGGTCTCCTACATCTCCTCAAAGAGAAGGGATTGGGGAGTGAAAGCCAATCTTCAGCCCCCGTCTTTTGGGTGTGAAGAATCCCGTGGCCCACCCGAATCTCGAGGAAGGCTCCATGAGAACAACTCCTGGCCAGCGGTGGGGGTGATACAGCTTGCAAGAAGAGATCCCTCTGCGGACGTCCCTGTCCTCCTGGAGGGAGTTCTGCCGGTCTCACTTCTGCAGCTTCACGCTCAGCTTCAGATGCACGTCACACAGGAAGGCGTTCATCAAGTCGTGGCCTGCCTCCCGGACCACTCTGTTGATGAGTTCGCCCTCGTGGCCGAGCAACATTTTCTGCCAGATTTTTTTTTTGGGGGGGGAAGAGATGACAAAAACATGATTTTGCAATAGCAGACAAGGATCCCACACCCCCAAGTTTTGAGTCCAGGATTTACACTTGTCTACTTCCAAGGCTACAGGATGGAGCAGCCAGGCAGGGAACAAGCCATATCGGGCTGAACGTATCGGGCTGAAACTCCTATCTACCCCAGACAACCGAGCTGGAAGTGGGGGATGATGGAAGCAGCAGTCCAAGAAGCTCAGCCCAGTTCCTCTGCCCCCGTCTCCAGCTAAGCTCCCCTCCTGGTCTTGCTTCCCTGGAAGGAGATCCCACTGAACTCAGCAGGACTTCTTCTGAAATAGATCGATGCAAATACCGGAACACCCAAACCCAGAATCCCTGCCCCAAAGGGGTGAGGGAGGACGAGACCAGAGTTTGCAGGAGTTACTTTTTTGGGGGTACTGCAACCACCAGCACTGATTTCTAGTTCAATAAACAACATCCCCAAACTCTGGAGACCAACAGTCCACACCCCCCACCCCACAAAACCTGCCTCAGCTCTCCAGAATAATGTGTGTTTCAGATGAAAAGGCTGTTCCTCGGAGGAATCTTTTCAGTCTTTCAAAGAGATGTGTTCACTTCTGGCAGGGTAGCTACACCAGTTCCAACCAAGAGCTTGGTGGCACCTCGAAGACTACCCTGTTTTTATTCCAAAGAGGCTTTCTGTGGGGTGACCGTCTGCTTCTTTAGAGGGACACACCAAGAGGCCCCGAGAGGTGGGGGGGAACCCACCAAAGCCTACAGGGAGGGGCCACACAGCCACCTGCTCTTCTTAGGGAGAAGGCGGTGCAGTTGGTCAAGAGTGCAAAGTGTGCTTTGCGTCACAGCGCCCTCCCCCAGGAGAGGCGTACCAGGTGACTTTTCTTCTGGACCACCAAATTCTGCACGATGACCAGTTCTCCACTGGGCCCCTCACTCCACACTTCCTGCTCCTGCAAAGGAAAATGCAGACGTGGGTGTGTGTCTGTGTGTGTGTGTGTTGGGCATCTGCAACAAGTGACAGCAGGGATAGAGAGGTGGGGGGGGGAACCAACCCCTCCCGCCCCCAAAGGGCTCACCTGCACCACCGAGTAGGGCACCTCCTCCGGCAGATACTCCAGCAGCTTCTCCCGGATGACGTTGTTGCAGACTTCTTGGGGAGACTGGTCGGTCAGGACCTCGCTGTGGAACCTCCAGGGCCCCGGCCTGGCTTGCTGGAGGAGGTACTTCTGTTAGGCAGAGGGAGCGCGCGTCAGGGCGGGAGAGGGCGGCCCAGACACGCCAGGGTGGGTAAAGGGGTGAGGAGCTGGCAAATAAGCAGGTGAGGCCCACCCCTCCCCAGGGTTCTGACACCCCTCCCACCCCCACCAAGCACTATCTTGTACCAAAGTGAGACTGCAGGGTACCTCTCCGGCTGCAACGCCAGAGCCCATACGGCCCCTCCCAGCTCTGCGGTTCTGGGACTTATTATTAGTATAACTCCTGCGCCATTGAGGCCGCATGATCTGCTCCAGCTGGCAGCAGCTTTCCAGCCGAGAAGAACTTCACTCCATACCTCCTTCCTGAGATCAACGGTCATGTCATCTCAAACCTGCGCCCCCTTTTTAATTGTTCCAGTGTAGAGATGCACTACAGGCTGCTTACTTTCAGCGTCTCCACCTCCTCTCCGTACATGGCAGCCAGCATGAAGACCTCTTTGAAGTGGGGCCAGCCTATCTGGGCCTTTTTCTTCTGCCCTTTTGGGGGCCCCTTTGCCTCGGCCGTGTCCCCCTCTTCGACATCGCTGGCAGCCTCTGGGTCTGAAATAGAGTCTGTCTGGGGTTTGTGAGACGCCTCGGCGTCTCTAGGCTTTTCCATCCCATTCGTGTAGGTTTCCAACGCCTGGGAATCTTTGGGTGTCTCGTCATCAGTGGGAGGAGAGGACCTGGCCTTCAGCCTTGACGTGATGGGCACGGCCTTGCCATGGACCATTCCTTCGGTGAGTTTTGTGACCAAGTGCAGAAGATGCTGGCGCTTCTTCAGCAAATCCACCTGTAATGGGAACACCAGGAGTAGGAGAGGTGGGGGAGTCTTCCAAGGGGAGCCAAAAGCAGCAAGTCCTCCAGGTTGTGGTGAACATAAACAATGCAAAACATGGTAACTCAAGACCCTTGATAGCTCATCCCCAGCCTGGCCTGGAGACTGCTTTAGAGCACCCTTCTGTCTTCTATTTCCCCTGCTGGGCTTTTCAGGGAAACCTGGACCTCCTCGCCAGAATTTCTGAGCTGTTCCAAGGTCTGGGAAACCCCCCAAACAAACCCAAAGCCTCTTTCTACTGGATTTATTACCAGAGGAAAGTGGGGAAAAGAAACAAAACAAAAAGATTTTTCCCCCTCTTGTATTTGCTAACTGTTTTCTCCTTACTACATCCTGCACACACCTCACGAGAAAAACTACCCCACATTTAGTCCTCGGCAAGTTCCAAGGCCCAGTCACTGCGCCACCCCGAAAAGAGGACATGGTGCTGAAGTGGAGGGAAGCAGAAGTAAAAACGTCAAGAGATAACTTGGGGCTTGGGTGGTGGATCCCTGGACCCACCCTCTGACAGCCTGGACTTCCACCCTTTGTGAGTCAGCCTGGCAAAAGGTCTAGGACTTCGCTGGAAGGTGCCTTTTGCAACTTGTGAATAAGGGGAGGGTCACACATCTTAGAGGTTCCCCCCCAAGAGATGTCTGGGGGGGGGAGCTGGAAGGAAGGAAGCCTACCTTGTTCAAAACCAGAATGCTCGGGATCTCTGGAACCGAATGGAGGGCTTTGAGCACTTGTGGGTGGAGGCGGTTCTGCGTGAAGGTATCCGACACGTCCACCACAACCACCACTACAGAGAAATAAAATTAAATAAATAAAATTCAGGAAATATCCCATAACACCAGTTTGGTCAGGGAAGACTTCCCCTGCTTCTGCTTCCCGAAGGGTATTGACCCATTTTCATCTGAAGAGGGAAGTTTTATGTTTGTGGATGACAGAATCTAAAAATTCCCCAAGTAGCACGGCTGTGGTCAAGAAACCACAAATACAACTAGATTTTAAAGCAATATTAAAACGGCTCTTAAGAGAAAGATGGAATACACCACAGACAGCAGGCAACCCGGTCTAACCTCTCAATTCCCAAGAATCAGGAATTCTTGGCAAAGGGCAGGAAGCCAGGAAGAATAATCCAGGCAAAGGTAAAGCAAAGACAGGGTCACACCTTAAAGTTCTGTAGAGATTTTGTGGATGACAAGATGTCTGCGAATCTGAGGAAGTGGACGGTAATGCATTAAATGGGCCTAATGGCATGAATCAGTTGGTTTTTAACATGCTGTTTATGCTCGGATTTTGCTACATCTGCTGAAAGAGATTAATGCAGTTACGTGGCTGAAAATTCACTCCCACCTAAATCTGCCTCCTTCAAGCTCCTGAAAGGGTCATAGAGCAGGGAGTCCTCCAGGTGGTGCCTGGAAGAGAAAAGCCAAACAACCGCACAGTGAGTCTGGCACGATTCCGGAGTCGACCCAGCAAAGCGTGTCTCTTTCTCTTTCCAAACCCGATGTGGTTATCATACCTTTTGCGTTTGAATGGGGTGGTGAGACCCGGGGTGTCCAAGATAATCTAGTGGGAGGGGGTGGGTAAAAAAGAGAGAGTCAAATATTTTAAAACTCTTCCTCTGCTTCTCCCAAGGTTCATGCCTGAGTAAAGGTTGGCTGTCAGAAGGCTGACTTGGGGTGTGTTGTGTTGGAAATCACTTGAGGAAACGCGTTATCCGTTTGCAGACCAAACAGAAGGAGCACGTGGTCCTGCTGAAAGGCTGTGGAGCAAAATATTCATTGACTGGCACATTTAATGGGTTTGGAACCAACCAGGAGGGAGTTCTACAATGGAGAGCCCACCGCTGTGAAAGCCCTGCTTCTGTTACTTGTTCATCTAGCTGCTTAAAGGGCGGCTCCCAAGGTCTTTGGTGGTTATTGTAGGCTGTGGTTTCTTCACTTTCCTGCTCCTGAGAAGACGTATATGTGGGCCTCTCTGTAGCTGTCAGTCACAGCGTCTCCACATTCAGCCAGTTTCACTCCAGCTGACAGGGGATGCCGGCAAACCGCCAGACTGGGGTGTGTGTGTGTGTGAGAGAGCCTCTCTTCCACCAACCAACAATCTGATGCAGAAAAGGTTCTCCTTCGTACTCACCAGCTGGGTGTCCTCCTTCGTAATGACCCCCAGGGCATTCTGTCTTGTCGTATGCACCTTCTGGGAGACGGGGAAAACCTGCCAAGGAAATCGGCCAGTTTTCGTACGGTAAGCGGACACTGAAAACCTGCCCCCCCAACCCCCATCCATCCACCAAGGAGGGAAACGGAACTCTGAAGCCTTCTCACCTTCCGCCCCAGGAGCTGATTCGACAAAGTCGACTTCCCGGCATTTGGAGCCCCGATAATGGCGATTTTCAAGACCTTGGGGTTGTCCGGCTGATCCGGGTGCTGCTCTAGTACTTCCTCGTGCTCCTCTGCCAGGTAAGAAAAGCACAAATTGTGCCACTGACCTCAGACCCGGCTCAAGCACAAGATGGCGGCAGATCACGAGACCTGTAGCGCTCTAGCTCAGCTCATCCCAACAGCGAGGGCATCCAACTTGAACAAGCATCTAACAAAGAAGTGGAGATAAACTAACTCCTCCAAAGATCTCTAGCCCAAATCCTACCTCATCCTTTCCTTTGAGCAGAGGAGATCGTTCACTCCCTGTATAATGCTAAAAGGAGAACAACCCCCCCCCCCAAGCTTGGAAAACCAACTTTTGGAGTGGAGAAATCCAATGAGCATGAAGGTCTCTCTCCCCCCCCTCCAAAAAAACAACAAAAGAGATCCTTCCTGGACCCTCTTGAGCTTTTTCTATTCTAGAAAGAGGCCACTCATAAGGCATGCCCATTCTGACTCATAGCAATCCTTGCCAAGGGGTATAAGATACTTAAAAGTGGATCACATTATTCCCTTTTTTGGGGGAGTGTTCTGGGATGGTACAGCTTACCGGAGGCTACACAGGCTGGCTGTTCTCCCACAAAACACACTGGAGATTGAAATTCAAACCCCTGGCTGCCCAGCGAGGTGCTCAAACTCACTAAGCCATCTAGAGAAACCACTCCCTGTTGCAATTTTATATACATGAGAACAACCCTGTGACCATGTTCAGAATTTCAGTCTTCCTGGGTCGCCCCCACTTTCACTACTTGAACAAGCGCCCAGGTACTCTTCGAAAGAGACTGGAAAACCTTCTTCTGCTCTCCTTGGGGGTTTCGGCCGAGCACTTTATGAAGCGAGGTGGAGAATCCGAGACCCACCTTGAAAGGCGCTCACAGGCGAAGCGTGCTGACCCACACAGGGCTTCTCCTGCTCCTTCAGGAACCCAAGGATGTGACCCAAGGCAGAGTCACTTTTGTACAAGCAGGCAGGGAGAAAGACGGGCCGCTCCAAGGCCTTGTTCAGGAAACCGGCGCCAAGACCTAAAACCAGGGAGAAAAACAGTGCATGAGAATAGCTAATAGCCAGGCGTCATCCTGGCCAGAGCACTGGAATAGGATTAAATTTTTTTTTTATAACTAACTCATTATATCTATATAGATAGATAGATATAGCTATATATATAGAGATATATACACACACACACATACATATATACATATATATACACACACACACACATACATACATACATATATATATATATATATACACACCCTGCAGGGGAAGGGTAATATAAAAATTCAAGAGGTGATAAAACATAAGAGGCTTAATACCAGAGAAGGTGGATTGGGGCCCAAGGGTTGCATTTTGCCCCCACTTCCTTAACAGTTCCACCAACAGTTCCTCTTCCTCTTAACAATAACAATAATTTTTATAATTTTATTACTTATTGTAGTTTATTGATATAGGTTTTATTTACTATTGTAAACCACCCGCACTCCTGGGGCGGTCTATAAATCAAGGGAATAAATAAATCAGTGACAACTCCAAACACTACTAATTAAAAGATTAATTAGCTTCCTCGGTGATTCATTGAAATAAGGCAAGCCAAGCGACGTCGTGGCTCCAGAGGTCGCGATGGGGGGGAGGGGAGGGAGGCTTTAGCCTTCAGGGCGCTAGTCCTTATGGAGGAAACCTTGGATCTGTCCTACCTCACAGGATGGTGGTTGTGAGGACAAAAAAAAGCCACCTTGGCCTCCCTTACGGAAAAACTGGAGGTCCTTACAATTAAGAATTCATCACGACCAGCTAATTAGCGCCTCATTTGCCCTCCCCCCCTTCCACCGCGCCCGTCTCCCAGGACGAAGCCCTGCCCTGCTTCGCCTCTGCTCCCCGGGGACGGCACCTGAGCGGACGCCCGGCGCTTTCCCTCTGGCTCTCCAGGCCCGAAGCTCCGCCAGGCCCCAGACCCGGGAGCCACGCCGGGCTAGGCCCCAAGCCGCCGCCGCCGCTGCCATGGCAACCCTCGGGGACCCTCAAGCAGCGCCTCGCCTCGCGGGCGCCGCCATTTTGTCCCGAGACGGGCTGCGCAAAGCATTGTGGGGGAAGGAGGAGCCAGGGAAGCCCTGCTCCTTATTGGCTGGAGGAGAGGAACCGTAGAATGGAAGGCGAGGCGGCGGCCAGAGCGGCGGCGAGGAGCCGCGCGGAGCATTGTGGGTCGCGGAGGATTACAAGAGGGCGGGGCCAAGCGGGTTTTGGAGGCTGCCTTGTAAAGCATGTCTCTTGAGCATGTGCAGAGTGCCTTTTCCATACTCGCTTTTCTCAAGCGTAGTCAGGATGCGTCATAGCGCCCTCCACTCTTCTAGCCTAGGGACCTAAAGGCACGGCGCCCTTGAGCATGTGCAGAGTGTTCCCCCCTCTAAGTGGCAGGACCCAGCTGCTTTTGATTTATAATGGACCCCCAAACCCCGGGGGGGGGCTGGAGTCTAATAAACTCGCGGAGTCTGTGGGCTTTGCAGAACATACAAGGCCCAGCTGGAGAAAAAGATGGCTTTCCCTGTAGGTAAAAGAACGGGTGCCTCTGACCATGTGCAGACTGCTTCTCTGAGAATTAAAGCAGATTCTTGATGTTTTTTTTAAAAATGGTCCCCCAAACCTCACAAAGCCTTTAAATTCCATCTCTGCAAAATATGTTTTCTATCTGAATTTTTTAAAAATAGCTTCTTTGTTGATTTCAGTGCCTCTGAGCATACACAGTATATCTGCCTTTTATGGGTAGCATAATTAATTATGAGGAGCTTGAAGGAGGCAGCGTGCTGCTAATCCCTGTCTTAAGGGGGGAATCTATCAAAACATGGGCAGGGGGGGGAAGGACGGCTCCCTCGACCACCACCATCATCATCCCAGCTTAGTTTTGGGGGGAAAGAAGAAACAACAGCCTTGCTGCGTCAGAAAGAGAGGCAAGGAGCAAAAGCTGCCAGCAAGACAGAGGCTCCTCTCGGGTAGAGGATTCTTCCTTTTGGAAATCTGATGACGAAAAGGCCCGTTCACAACAGTTGTTGTTCTGCACATTTGCCGCTATATTTTTATAAGAATAAACTAATTGCTGTTGCTGCTGCTGTTTCAGACCCTCCCCCATTCTCCTGCCCTCCGAGAGAAACCCGTCTTTAGAAGTATTATTCTATCATAGACAATAATGCAGCGGAAAGTGGGAAGTGGCAGGAAAGGAGGAAAAGCAAATGTGTGATGGACAGAACTCCTTCAAGGAAACCACAAGTCTGGAGTTCGCAAGGCTTTCCGACCAGAGCTATAAAGGACAGGACCCTTCTGGAGTGACTCATTCCTATGGTCAGAAGAATGGAAGGAAAGGGTGGAAGTGAGCCCGGGTCAAAATGAATGCCTGTGTGAATGGCCTCTTGTATCCAGGTGTGTGTGGTGTGTGTGTGTGTGAATGCTCAGCTGCTTTCTTTCCCGCCCCACCGGCTGCTAACAGAACAAGCTGTGGTTTCTGCCCATTGCTGTAAATTCAAAACACACACAAAAAAAATAAAAATAAAAAAATGAAAAAGGGAACCACAAACACACGCAGAGAGAGAACGAAATATCTGGGCAATGACATTTATTTCTTACAGGGAGGCCCGTGGCCTGATCAGAGGTTTGCCGGAGGACGACGGGGCTTGCTCTTCCTTCCTTGGCGAACTTCGATGCTGGCCGGCGTGGCAGAAGAACCATTACCATTACTAAACTCAGTAATGGTAACGGTTTAGCCGACACACCGTGGGGTTTATCTTCCAGGCTTGGCTGCAGAATCCTGTGGAAGGGTGTGGGTTTT